GTGTTTTTCGAGCTCGAGCGGATTTCCTTATGCTCAAGCGGGTCACGCTCGAGCGGGTATCCTTGCGCTTGAGCAGGTGTTCAATGTCTGTAAAAGTACTGGAAGAGTGTAATCTACGCTCGAGCAGGTTCCTTTTTGCGCTCGAGCGGGTGGTGCTTTGTTTTGTGCCTTGGCGCTCAAGCGGGTTAAGTTTTTGTGTTTGACGCTCGAACGTCCTATTCTCCGTTCGAGCGGGTCATACGTATATCAGATCTGGACTGTGTTATTTTAAATCACTTTTTACACTCTCTCTCTTTCTCTCTCTTACTTTTCAAAACTCTATTTTGAGAGCCTCTCTCTCTCTAGAATACCACTTCTCTCTAAGGTTTGATCTAGTTTGAGTGATCTTCCATCTTTGTCCCTTTGTAAAAAGTGTAGAGGTTAGCTTGGGCTACCTTTCCATCAGAAAATCTTTTGGTTTGGAGCACTTCGAGTTTTCTTCAACTTCTCCATTTGGTCTCATCTCTTGAGGTAGGGATAACTACTCATGTATATGATCTTTGACATAAGCTTTTGGCCATTTTGATTTAATGTTGATGTTGGGTAATTTTGGGTGTTAGGGTTTCAAAATGAATAAAGAGGGGTTTGTTAATTTGACCAATACATGTGTATTTTGGGTCTTGGAATGAGATTAGTGATGTTAGTTGTTAATATTTGGACCTTGGGTCAACGTTGGGAAAAGAGGGAGGAAAGCCCTAATTTTGTTACAAATTAATTTATGTAATTCATTTGGGAAGTTTTGAAAATGTGGAATTGAGTTGGAAATAGTGAAATTGGCTTAGTATGAGATTCAATAGTGGAGTTGGATTAATTAATCACTCACCGTTGATAATGTTGATAATTTATCTGTTGGATGTAATTATTATCTGTTTAGAAATAATTGTTTTGGGCTATTGGTAGAGGATAGTCTTGATTGATGTAGACAATGCATGATGATTAAGCAAATTAAAACTAATCTATTAAATGTGTCATTGAATACGACGGTTGGAATAATACATCAAATATGTGTATTGACTGTTTATGTATGTGATAATTATTTATATACATTGTATTGTGTGGGAGGAGATAGGGGATGTACTCCACGGTTTGGGAGGAGATAGGGGATGGACTCCTAAACTGGATGTTATTTGGGAGGAGATAGGGGATGGACTCCATTGATATAGCAAATCTGTGTATCATTTATGAAGTATGGAAGTGTTTTAATATGTTACTGATACAGCAAATTTGTGTATCTATTGTGAAGTTTGGAAGTGTTTTGATTTGAGTTGATATCTCATTTAAAAAGGGAGTGCTCTATTATTAGTCATTTTCTCATTGAATTGTTGGCTAGGTTCTGAGCCATGTTATGAATTGAAAATTGGTTAAGTAAAGTAAAATGAACATTGACATATTTGTCATGGAATTGGATGGTGTTATAAGTTGGTTCATATAAGTTAAACATTTATCAAATGCTAATGTTTTAGTTATTGCTCATATTATGTTTAGCATATCTCTACTGGGCGTTGGCTCACCCTATATGGGACATCATTTTCAGGTTCAGGTGATATGCTACCTCCAAGGAAGTAGCTTGGGAGGCTGGAGGCTGATAGCTCTTTTTGTTGTCTCTTTCGTATATTACATGTATATCAAGCCATGGGCTTATTCTGTGTAAAGAGTTAGGACTCTACTTTTGTTGAACCCAAATGTTGACTTGGAAAGTTGTAAGCTTATAAGGCACTTACTTTTGTTGTCAACACGTAATATCTTTTGTAAGAATACTCTGATGAATGGCATTATGTTTTACTCTCTTAAGTTTATGGATCTAATGAATGCATGATTTATGGGTTTATTTTGAGGGCGTTACATATTCCTACTTCACCATTTGTTTTACATATGCTAGTAGAAATAATTAAAATTTTCGTAAAATACTTGGGTAACGAATGTTATATATTTGGGTAACCATTATTACTTCAATGAAAGAAAATTTTGATAAATATTTTGATCATTTGTCTCATATATTAGGTTTATAATAATTGATTCTAGGTGTAAAGAAATTGGTTTACAAGAATTTTTAGAATGTCTTTTCACTGATCAAACACAGTTTACCCAGATTATGCAAACATGCAATAGATTATTTGAAAAATACAGGGTAGCTGCATCTGTAAATATACCTACCCACACTACACTAGCGGTCTCATCTCGAGGCAGGAGATTAAATGTTTTTTCAACAACAAAAAGTAGAAAAATATCTCAACATACAAGTGTAAGTAGTTCTGAATTACAATGTTATTTGGAAAGCCCGTCAATGGATCATTTCGATGATTTTGACATTTTGGAATGGTAGAAACAAAACGAAACTACGTAACCTGTGGTTTCACAGATGGCCCATGATATGCTAATCATTTCTATTTCTACAATTGCTTCGGAAACAACTTTTAGTACAGGTGGACGGGTGTTAAACGATTACCGAAGCAGGCTTTCACCCGAAATGGTTAAGGCACTGATGATATCGAGAGATCATATGCATGCGCTTATAAGAAGACAAAATTATAGTGAAAATGAGCGGATTCAAAATGATTTGGATGACATATCTGCGGGCAACGTGACTGAAATGTCTATCTCCTCCGATGATTGATCAACAATTTGTTTTTTACTATTTCATTTCATTTTATTTTTTTTGTATTAGGTTTTTGAGGTGGAGTATAATACAAATGATTGGTAGGCTAGTAAGTGCCAACCTAGTTAGAATGTGCTTCACCTATAGTGATACAATTACTTTACCGTCATCAGTAATCTACACCTAATTTATTTCATAATATCAATTTTTGTAATATTTTATTTCATTTTGAAATAAAAATTATTCATTCAATAAATGTTATATAAATAATTTAATATTGGGAACAGATTTTTTTAGTAATTTTTGGACATTTTGGCTAAAATATAATGTAAAAAAAATTTGTATGTTTGAGAAGAATTCTCTAACTTTTTACGAAAAGATGTGAAAAAAATAATATAAATAATTAATTTTTGTAACCGTGACAATGACAATGACAGCATTGTACCCATGACAATGACGGCAAATTTGCAAGCATCAGTCATGTTTGAATTATTAATTTTTTATTATTATTTTTTTAAAAAATAGACTTGAATTTGAAAATATTTATAGGTTTATAGGTTTGTAGGCTTGTAGGTTTGTAGGTTTGAAAACAATTATTAAAACATTTATAGGTACAGTGTATAGGTTTGTAGGATAAAAATTGTAAGTTTTTTATTTTTTTAGTGATTTTTTGGCTTTTAAACTAAAATCATCACTTGCCAAAATATCACCATAAAACATTACACAACTAAACAAAATATCTCATTAATCTTAACTAAAATACTATAGTATAAATTTTTTTTAATTTTTTATTCCTAATATAAAAAATAAAATAAAATAAGCCTAATTAGACCTAGCCCGCGGCCCAAGCCTTAGGCCCTATTCTGAGTAGGCTTGGGCTTGGGACTGGGCATTTTTTGGCCCACGGGCCAAGCCGGGCCGACCCGCTAAAAAGGCGGGAGCCTACGAAGCCCGCTTGGGCCGGGCCGCTAAAAATGCAAGAGCCCGCTTGGGCCGGCCCACTAAAAATGCGAGAGCCCGCAAAACTCGCTTGGGCCAACCCGAGCTCTGGCCCGGATGGGCCGGGTCGGACCGGGCCATTATTACATCCCTAATAACTACATGATCTAATCAGTTTTGTATAAAAAAAATGGACAGTAAAAAAATAAACGGTTGACAGAAATCCAATCAAATGAGATAACTATCAATATCCGATCATCGTGATTTTTTACAGGCATATAGTACTGAACGAGTTCTACATATTGAATGATTCGAATTATTAAAATGGGATCCGTGGTGAGCCCCCGTTGGCCCAACTGTACCCTCTAGTCCGTAGCCCAACCCAAAAATTATTATGCAAAGGTGTGACTATAAGACCTTGGATTTCATTAAGAACATTCATGCCACTTAGGCAACATATATATTATGATATTAATTTCTTTATTATTCATTTTTATTCTTATTTATCTGAATTGTGCATACGCCTTATAACTAAATAAGAAAATGATATAATTTTATATATTTTTAGATATAAATTAAAAAAAATAAAAAAGAGTCATAACCAAATAATATATTAGATATAATTAAAAATCTCATGAGTTATAATTAAAATAAAATTATAATTAAAAAAATAGCATAACTTATATGGTAAGGGTATATAATAGAAATTTTGGACAAATTATATATACCCCTCGAGATTTAGCAAAATTACAAATACTCCCTGAGGTTTAAGAAATTACAGATACCCCCTGAAGGTACTATTTGCATAACAAATTAGGAGACAAATTGTTATGAAAATATAAATCTCATGAGACAATTTGTTATGAAAATACAAACCTCAGGGGTATGTATAATTTTTGAAACCTCAGAAGATATCTGTAATTTAACTAAATCTCGAGGAAGATATATGTAATTTACCCTAGAATTTTTTATAAAACAAAGTCTACAATTAAAAAAAAAAAATCAAAATAATTGCAACTGCCACGACAACATAGGGTTGTTTTGGGAAGTTGGTAAAAAGCTGGCTTTTGACTTTTTACCAAGTTTTTTGGCTTTTTTGGAAGTGATTTGGGAAGTTGGTAAAAAACTGGCTTTTTGCTTTTTAGTTTAATATTTATTTATGGTGTCAAATCAAACTAAAATGACCAAAATATCCTTACCCAACATAAGAGAGTTATTTTTTTATTTATTTTTCATAGGCCCTAATTTGTAATTTTAGGGCTGCGTTTTTAGCACTTGCCAAATGACTTTTTTGACTTTTTTAACAGCCACGTTTTTAGACATTTTATCCAAAAACGTGACTTTTTATCATGTTCCCAAAATGGCACATAGTGAACCAAACAAACAGACTGCCACGACAACATAGGAAAGTATGACCAAGCCTTTTACCGAGGCTTCAATCAAACGACTTCTCTATCAACCACAAAAACCACAACCACCACAACAACAGACAACAAACAATGACGACTACCAAGGACGAAGATCCCGTAGTCTTTTACGCCCCTATTCCCACCAATCCCGACAACAGCAACCAAAACTACGTCGTCTTACCGCTCTACCCCCACTCCCACCTCCGCCGCCGCCACAACCACCACCACCACCACCGCTACCCGAGCCTCTCCCGGTGCGTCGGCGTCGCCGCCGCCTTCCTCCTCCTTTCCACCGCCGCCTTCCTCCTCTACCCCTCCGACCCCCACCTCTCCCTCGTCCGCATCCACCTCAACCACATCCAAATCCTAACCTCCCCTCAACTCTCTCTTGACCTCTCTCTCTCTCTCACCCTCCGAGTCCTCAATCGCGACTTCTTCTCCCTCGATTACTCTTCTGTCCATGTCACAATCGGCTACCGAGGTCGTGAGCTAGGGTTCGTCACTTCCAATGGCGGTCACGTTAAGGCTAGAGGATCGTCCTATGTGAACGCCACGCTTGTGCTCGATGGATTTGAGGTGCTTCATGATGTTGTCTATTTGATTGCGGACTTGGCCAGAGGTACGATTCCTTTTGATACTGATTCAGAGGTGAATGGCACGGTTGAGATCTTCTTCATTGATGTTCCGATCAAGGTATGTTCTTTTTTTGGTTCTGGTTTTTTTGATTTATTTGTGGACAAATGGATTGAGGGTTTTGAAGAATTGGGAACAAATATGTGTAACGTTTGAGTGATATGATTATATGCATTTGTTGTCTACTTTATGGTAAAGCTTTTTTTGGGTAAATTATACTTTGCTCCTTTTATGTTTAGCCATTTCTCACTTTGGCACTTGAATTCATATTTCCAGTTTTTCCCAATTAACTCGTTTCTTAGCCGGCTAGACAAACATTTGACTCTGCTTCTTGTAAGACTAAGAACAATAGTTTTGTGGTTTGGGATGAACTAGTTAGGGTTTATAGAGAATTGAAGTTCTAGCCGGCTGTTTTCGATATGATTCTGAAGGTTAATGCTAAGAAGGGTTTGACAGAAAATGCCTTGTATGTGTTTGACAAAATGGGTAAGTTCGTTCGTGTGCTGAGCTTAGGGTCTTGTAATAGTTTGCTTAATAGTTTGGTTAAAAATGGTGAATGGTACACTGTATTTTGTGTTTATGATCCAATGAATAGCGTTGGAATTGTTCCGGATGTATATAGTTTTAATTCCTATTTTTTTTCTGACACATCAACATGTCCATATTAACACATGCCTGTATTCTTTGAAGTAATTTAATGCACAATTCGAATGGATTAACTAAGAAAACACATTAAGTTGGAAGTAGGAACGGGAAGAGTCTGTATCAACTAGGACTTATGCCAGTTAGTTTGTTGTTGAATTTGGTTTCGTCTTTCTTTTTTTGTGTATCTACATGTATTTAGTCTGATTGAGGTATTGAGGTGTTTTGGCAGGACAAGGTGAGAAATTGCTCAAATGTCATTTCCAATTTAGTATGGAAAACTCATGTTAGAAATTGGTGGTGTATTTACGATCTGATTTGGAAAACAAAATTAACCCTATAAAACATATAGGAAGCTTCCTAGTTGTACGTTGTTATCAACAACACAGGAAAGATTTACATTGCGGAGGTGTTAATGAAAATATTTTATTAAACCTTGTTGGCTTCATTTAATGATGATAGATTACTGAAGCCATTCTCTCCCTCATATGCACAAACATCTGTGTTGTTTTGAAGAAGCATAAAAATTAGATTAGCTTTTTTGGGAGAGAAGAAAATTTGCATGAATTCTGTTTGCTCAGATCTCAGTGTATTTAGAACTTCTTGGGTTGGTGGCTAATTTTGACAACTTGTGTTTTAGATGAATGTTTGTACATCACTAAGTGTGTGTATGAATGGCTCATTTTCAATATGGATAGCATATTTTGTAATATACCCATAGCCAACAACTGGTTTATAATAGCAGAACAAGGTTATTTAAAGCTTTTAAAATCTGGAGGTTGTAGATTAAGCTGGACTAAAGTTGATACCTGTAAAACAAGTTCAATTAGTTTATTAAGACTGAATGGAACTAGGGTAGCCAATTGGTTCTCATGCATGCTTTTTGAGGTGGTTAAATGCATGGAGAAGTTTAATGAATGCTGATGGTATGTGGTTGTGAGCTGGTTCCCCCACTTCTCTTCGGTTAGGGAAAACATGAACTGGTCTTCTTTGAGCGTTTTGAAAAAGGCGGATGGAGGAATACACACAATATGAAGGTGGTCAGTGAATGAGTTGATACAATCATGCTTTAATCTTTGTAGTTCTCTTCTTTTTCTTTTTTTTTTTTTTTTTTTTTTTTTTTTTTTTTTTTGGATAAGTCAGTTTTTTGTAGTTTTGTTATGTTATATTACATTTAATTTGTTTTGGCATAATTTTTAATTTAAATGAATCTACTCTGAACTTTATGAGGAAAATCTTGATATGTCAGTGCATGCTGGGCTTTGATCAAGTTATATTAACTTGTTATGAATTTCTTTTAAATCATCTGTAATATATTTGTGTATTAACATGCTTTTATTACTCATTACCTTAATAAATGGTATACTACTAGTATGAGTGAGTTTTTCTTTTCTTTTTCTTATTATAGCAATGCCAATTAATTCGTTATATGCTCGTTTCTTTTCTTCTGCCTATATTAGAAGTTTCATCTTCTTTCTCAATGATTTAATATTATTTTCTTCAAATTTTCACCAGGCAACAATATCATGTGAAGTTTTTGTAAATACAAACAACCAGACAGTTATTCGTCAGAATTGCCTACCTCAGGTGAGGAACTTATACTTTCTTAGTAGGTTTATCTTGTTGTACCCAACTGAATTAAATATGTTCCAAGAGTATTCCTAGCTGCTGGCTATGATCCTCCCATTGTATATCCAAGATTGGTCCAATTCACAAGTTTGGTATGGTATTTCATACTTGGGGTAGACATTTGGTGACTCTTGTTAGCCCTTGTTCCCCATTTTCATAGTTCATCTTATCCAAATTTGCAATGGGCATAGCCATCTCTTCACAAAAACTACAATTGTAATTTACTCGATACTGTTCTTGTTTGAAATGCTGTGCATGCTCAAACATAAAATGGGAATTGGATGGTTGGCCAAAGCAGTTATGAACATACCTTTGTCATTGATATTTATTAGCCAACAGGAAGTTGTATGGAAACTACGTCTTTGACTTCAGAGAAACGTAACCTAAAGCAGTTAAATTAAGTTTGCTATCAAAGGCTTTGTTTGATTTTGCAGTAACCGTTGTAGATATAAAAGGAGACTGAAAATCATCTCAGATATGCAGTGAAGTGAAAGCACGGAGTCTTGTCCTTTTGGCAAACTTGACTGTTCAGTATGTGGATCTGACCTGCTTATAATTGAATGCATATTGGCCATAAGTGTTATCACGCAATTTATCGAGATGATTTACTTCATTAATAGAAGAGCTGATACCTCTGTTAAATCTCTTTTTCATGTACAAACTTGTACAACTAATTATAGCAGTAATAGTTGATACAAGTTCCTTCAGAAAATTGTAATGAGTGGAATTATGCACAATGTGGGTGTCAAGCTTTCTTTCCCAATAAAAACTGAGAAGCAACTTTCTGAAGACAAGTCTATTCCTCAGTAAGGTAAAATATAAAGTTAGAATTTTTTGGTTGAGTGCTTTGCATGGAACTGAGGGTTGGCAGCCGGCTGACCCAGCCCGCAAAATTGGTGCCCAAGCCCACCCTTAGGCTATGCCCGCGGTTTTTTTTTTAATGGCAGTCTGGACCAGCCCAAGCCCAATGGGCTTGGCCTAGGCAGGCTAGCATGTTGGGCTGCAGGCTAAGCTCAACAGGCCAAGATACAGGTTTATTTTGGTTTTTTTTTTTCCCTATTTTTTGCTGGGCTCACCAGCCAAGCTGGCAGGCCGCCTCTCACAGGCCAAGTGGTTGGGCTGCCCTAGGTACAGGCTTGGGCTGGGTACAAGCCTGTTGGGCCGGGCTGCAAGCCTTTAGGCCAAATAATGCGCACCTAAAAGTTTAACCTAAATTCAAAGTTTCTAAAAGGTTTTTATATTGCTCAATCAATAGAGATTCCATGGAAATGATATTTTGTAATTTTTTTTTAAATGTATCACTCACTTAGCTTGGGTGGGGTCTTTTTCTACAATTTCATACGACTTGTGCAATTCTGTTTAGGATTTCATGCAATGCCCTTTCAAATTGCAGTATGTGCAACGGTGAAGTCACTGTCATAAGTCCCACTTTGGAGGTTATAATATAGAACAATGACAACTTTAAAATTCTGTCTTTTTTGTTTTGTTTTTTTTGGGTTCTTTAGCCTCTTACAAAGGAAGTGTGAGAGGTTAAAAGTGGAGTGGTAATATCATTACTTATAAAAACATATGTTATAATCGTGTTACGGACCCCAAAACCCACTTGTTAGGGGGAGGTGAGTCATTCGGTGCTCCTTTTTGTTTTATTTTTGAGGAATCAAGAACTGCGGTAAAACGGTATTGGTACATGCACGAATTAGTGTACTAACTAGTATATTAACACCAATTATGTTATTATTATTGACCTCACTCATTAATCACATTATAAATACCAAAAATCTCTTAAATTATGTCACATCATCAATTAGTACATTAGTTAGTATACTAATTAATACATATAGCATTATTCGCAGTAAAATAGCCGGGGGTGTCGTGAAGATTGAAACCTGCAAAATTTGGTGCTTTTTAATTTTTATTTATTTTCATAAGCAAGAACTGCAGTATAGTAGCTGGGGGTGGAATGAAGTTCGAACCTGGGAGGTGGCGTCAGAAAATGCACGTTACTCATGCCTGCTAATGCTGGCACTGGGCCTGTGCCTTGTCTTTACCCGGTGCAATTTTTTGGTGCCTGTAATTTCTGTTTTACAAATAACTGTGGGTTACAAATCTGTGTGCTGCTGAGTCTTTAAGATGAAACTTGTTAGTGGATAGACTCAATCTGAGTTGAATCACAATCTTGGCTGGATTGGAGGGTGAGGTTTTAGCTGGCAGGCGAGAGAGAGAGAAAGAGAGCATCTTGGTTTTGTAGTATGTGTACTGGTTGAAATCAAATGAAACATACCATTCCATAGTAGTCCAATTTGTACTAAGAACCATTGAGGAAGAAGCTAACAATTTAAAAAAAAATATTGCCCTTTCCTTAAACAAGCTTAACAAGATGTTAACTACTCCTTGATGCAGCTTGTATTAGGCCACCACCACCGCGACCACCCCAGACATACTCATCGTGATGGTGCCTGCACCGGAATGACCCTGGGTGCCTTGTAGGTGAACAAACACACTGGTTCAACCTGCCTCCACCACCCTGCGCTGCTGCTTCAACCGCCATTCCCGGTACCCGCCCAGTTGCCGTTGGCCTCCGAACCACCACAGGCCTCTCTAGAACATTCCATCTGCGCTGCTGGGCCAAGTCCCGGAGACTTGTTAAAGGCAAACCTGGGTGACACATCTTTTTTTTCCTTCTCTACTATCTTCTCTTTCTTCCTCCTCTGCTTTATATTCTTGTTTTGAGAAGGGATTGATTAAAAGGAATGGCTTGAAAAGACAGAGAATGCTTGGTTTAAGGCATTATATGAGTAGGAAAGGAAAGGAAAGGAAAGGAAAGAGAGGTGGCTAAGTAAAGTTGGGTATAAAGAGCTTTTTTTTAGGTCAGATTCTCACAGAAGGTATGCTTTTCTTGAAAGCTTTTGTCCATGACTGTGTGCGTTGTGTAGTGTTGTGTTGGTTAAGCTGGTGGTGAGAGACTCATCTGAAAAATGAGTCACCCACACCTCACTTGCCTAACTGTGGCCTGAGAAGTTGTGATTATATGTCGTGACCCACCACACTTCCCACGATCAAGCCCTACGTGTGATTTGTCTGTTGGCAACACATTAGTGGTGCCGGCTATTGGGTCCTCCGTGCAATCCTAATAGACCACTACGTCATCACAATAATTTTTTTTTGAAAGTTTGTGTCACAGAATATTTAGCGTAACTTTTACACATAACAAAAATGTTAGTGGCCTTAAAAATTCTATTAAAAATTTTACCAAATGTCTCATATGGGTGTGGGACTTACATGGGACCCACATTATGTAGGTCCCACATCCATGTGACATTTGGTAAAACTTTTGATAGAATATTTGGGGTCTCTAGCATTACTCTATTATCAATTTTCAGGGTGCAAAATTATACCAAACATGCCCTTATTCAAATTGTAACAACACTAGAGTGTGAGACAAAGTTGTTTATAGTTTTTTTTCCTTGTTGGAGTTGTGTGGATTCCAGATCTCGTTGAGACCATTAACCAATCCGCCTCCCCAGCAGAGTCGCCAAAATGTAGGTGAGGGTTCAAGAAAGAAGTTGGAAAATTCGAAGATCTTCAAAGATCCTTGAAGAACAACTTCGAATTCTCTAGAATATGATGAGAGGCTTAGATTCTTCAATAATCTCAACTTAGGAAAATTTGACTTTTTAAGGTATTAATTTTTTTTATTTTTTTTTTAAGAACTTTTTTCATAACCCATACATTCCTCTCTTTTCTTTAAACAAATGAACGACGAACATAGTTTTTAAGAATTTATTATGAAACAATTATAATGAAATAATATAATTATAATTATTATATTAAATTAAATTAATTTTTTTTATTTATAATTATAGCTCTTGGAAGATGAATTTCCTTTTGTGGTCATGCTCTTTATTTTTATTTTTTAAAACTTTGATTGCATGTGTTTTATGTGCACAAGGATTGTGTTTTTTGTGGAGAGAAGTGGGTGGAGCTCATGTTGTTCCTAATCACATTGTGAATAAAAAGTTCCTTCCATTTTGGATTCTAGCATACATGGTCGGTGGTTTCACTGCTCATGAGAGAGAGGGGACAGAGAGACAGTCCAATAACAGATCTGGTTGGGTTTAATTAAGAGTTAATTATAATAAGATGTTCAATTATTAACTAATATTACTTTATTCTCTTATTTATCAACTCATGCATTTTGACTTTTCTATGCTACTTTCAGACCACCTCAAAAATGAGTATATTTGTACGATTTTTATAGTTAAATGGGTCAATGTATATAAGTTTATAGTTGAATGGATCAATATTATTTTTATTACTAATTGAGGGGGTCTTGATGTAATTAATCAGTTGGCAAACACTAATGTTGTGTTTGGTTGAGGGATTTGAGGAGGGATTTGGAAACAGAAATGGAAAAGGTAGGTGAAATGTGAAAAAAGCATGCTTACATTTCACATAGTTTCACACACCTTTTCCCTTTTCCTTTCCAAATCCCTCCACAAATCCCTCAACCAAACACAGCGTAACAAATTTGAATTTTATGTAACTCTCTTCTCATAAATTTTTTTTGGTAAATTACAAATACGTCTCTTGACATTTGTTTAAAATACGAATTGCCACATGTGATTTAAAAAATTACAAATACTCATTTATTAGATTTTTTTTATTTAACATAATTAACCCAAAAAAATCTAACTATTCTCCTATATAACACTATATAACTTGAATTGTTAATTGATTTTTTTCAAATATTATTAAAAACTGTTAATTAACTTAATAATTTATCAATAAAATAGACCATTTGTTATGAAATTAGAAACTTGAAAAGGAATATGATGTAATTTCTAAAACTACAAGAGACGATTCATATCTATCTATCTATATATATATAAGGAAAATGATCTTTTTAGTGAAGAGTCTTATAAGAGTTTCAATATCTTATACTAATTTTCTTGATTTTCTTAATTTTAAATAATTAAAAAAAAATCTTCATTGGCTAGCTTTTATTTGATAATCCCATATCGGGAAAAGAAAAAAAAAATTAATTGTTTTACTCATATAAAGAGAATCTTATACTTACATCTCATTTAGTGAGGAGCCTTGTGAAAGTTTTAATATCTCATTCTAATTTTCTTAATTTTAAACAATTAAAAAAAATCTCAATTGGCTAGCTTTTATTTGATAATCTCACATTGGGAAAAGAAAGAAAAAAAAATGAATTATTTTACTCATATAAACTGAATTTTATACTCTCATCCTATTTAATATTGTAGTGTTGTGCATGTTTTAATTCAATATAGTTTAAAATTTAAAGGGCGAATTACACTAATAGTTTCTATAGTTTGGAACTTGTGTCATTTTAATCCGTAACTTTTCAATTGTGACACATTTGACCCTGAATTTTGAATCTTATTCCAAATAAGGACAATTGAAGATACCATTACTTAATTTCAAGAGCAAAATCGTCAATTTGATAAAATATAAACTAATTTGACAAATACGTCAAAAAAATATTTTTGAATTTTTAAAAAATATTTCTACCTACTAAAGATAAAATTATATAAAATTGATAAATCTCTTAGATATTTATTATTTATTTATTTATTACCAAATTAATTTTTATTATGTATTCGGATGATGATCATGTAATGAGTGGTTGTTTTTATTTTCATTAAATTAGTTTTTATTTTTTTAAAAAGTCAAATATGACGACAACTTTGATATCATTATTAAACTAATTCATTAAATCAAAAAAACTAAAACTAAAAATATTTCATTTATTAAATATATCAATTATACATTAAAATCTTAATAACTACCAATTACATAATTATCATCCAAATACATAATAAAAATTAATTTGGTAAAAAATAAATAAATGTCTAAAAGATTTATCAATTTTATATAATTTTATCTTTGGTTAGTAGAAATAATTTCTAAAAATCTAAAAATATTTTTTTGACATTCATGTTTGTCAAATTAATTTATATTTTATCTAATTGATAATTTTACCCTTGAAATTAAGTACAAAATTCAAGGTCAAATGTATTACAATTGAAAAGTCAAGGACCAAAGTGACACGAGTCCCAAACTATAGGGACTGTTAGTGAAATTTGCCCAATTTTAAAAATTTTAATTAATTAATTATGACCTAACCGATTAAGCTAAATCATTTTTGATTTGATTGATTTAATTCGAAATAAACTAAAGATTGATCTGATTAAAGATTTAAAGACTGAGATTGCTTGATTAGAAATAAACTTTTCGTCCAAATAATTGTTAACTTTTATTTTATAATCCCACATCGGAAAAAGAAAAAAAAATGAGTTGTTTCACTTATATAAGGTGAATTTTAATAATGTAGTATTGTATATACTTTAATTCAAAACAGTTTAAATTTTAAAATTAAAAAAACATTTAAAAGTTTTAATTAATTAATTTTTGTATAAGTTGGTTGGTCATTTGATCTAACCGATTAGGCTGAATCATTTTAAGTTTGACTAATTCGCCGGTTTAATCACGATTTCTCATATTAATTTTATTAATTTTAAAAAATTAAAAAAAAAATTCATTGGCTAACTTCCATTAACCATGTAAAAATAAAACTCTAATTAATTTATAATTTATTTTATAATCCCACATTAGGAGAAGAAGAAAAACAAAGTTTGTTTTACTATCTATCTATATATTATATAAGGAAAATGAGGTTTTTAAGGAGAAACCTTCTAAGAACTCCAAACCCTTATTTTAAAATTATTGATTTTTCTTAATTTTAAACAATTAAGAAAATTCCCGGTAGTTAGCTTCCATTTACCTTTTATTTTACAATACCCACATCGAAAAAAAAAAGTGAATTGTTTCACTTACATAAACTGAATCTTATACTCCCATTTATATAAGCAAAATGAGATTTTTAGTGAGAAACCCTATGATCAATATCTCATACTCATTTTTTTGATTTTCTTAATTTTAAACAATTAAGAAAATCCTCATTGGTTAGCTTCTATTTAACTTTTGTTTTACAATCCCACATAATTTTGATTTTAAAAATAATTTTGTATGAGATTTTGAAGCTTTCATAATATTTAACTTTAAAATAATTACAATTCCACATTGAGAAAAAAAAGAAAAAATGAGTTGTTTGGCTTATATAAAGTGTTACAATCTCACATCAAGGGAAAAAAAAATGAGTTGTTTCACTTATATAAAGTGAATTTTATAAAAGAGGTTTTGAGGGAGAAACCTTCTAGAAGTTCCAAACTTTCATTCTAAAATTATTGAATTTTCTTAATTTTAAACAATTAAGAAAATTTCCATTTGCTAGCTTCTATTTACCTTATAGGGTAAATTACACTAACAATCCCTATAGTTTGGGGCTCGTGTCACTTTGATTCATGACTTTTCAATTGTGACACATTTGACCCTGAATTTTGAATTTTGTTTCAAATAAGAACAATTGAAGATACCGTTGTCCAATTTGAAGGGCAAAGTCGTCAATTTAATAA